TATTTACTAATATACCACCTCAAAACCTTTAACTTAATCAAAAAAACCACTCCGTTCGTTTCGTTCGCTCCCGTCACAGCAGATCGCAACTTCCCAAGAACAAGAACAATTCTGCTTCAGGAGGGCACATATAACGCCCTTGCAATTAAAAAATCAAGCGCAATACACAAGAGATCCTCCCAAATCAAGCAACAGGCCTACCTCCGAACCCAAGCATGGCAAAATTACCTCAATGGAGGTTGAGCTCAGCCTTCAAACACCCCTAATCTTCAACTTTTGTACAGGGAAGCAACGGAGAGGAAAGTGAACTCGTGCAAATCTTATAAACCCAAAACCAAAAAGCAGAAAAGGCTAAGAAAATGCCAAATATCAAGAATAAAACAAATCAAGCTGACGAAATCAACAGAGAAAAAGCTAGCATTCCACCAAAACAAAAGCAGTAAAGCCGCAATGCAATGCAGTTCCAACCAAAACCCCATTTTTACTTCCAATGATCACTCAAAACCCAGACTTGGCAAATCGAATTGCCTCAGAAATGAACACCAATTACCCCAAAAGCTTAACCTAAGTGATAGAGATGATTACCTTCGATCTCACGCGATGAAGAAGAGTAATGCACTGGCGGAAGAACAGCAGAAATCCTTCGGCCCTAATGCTGCCAACTTTTGTCTGCCGCTGCTGCTTCACAGTGGCCCATAGGGCTTGCACGAAGCCATGGCGCAATGATGCTTGTCTGCATTGGAACTCGCTGATATTCAGTTCTATAAAAACATTTAGGGTTTAGGCGAACGAGGTTGGAGATGAACGAGGTCGGAGAGGGCGGAGTTGCGACGTCTGCTATGACGGGAGCAAACGGGAACGAACGGAGTGGTTTTTTTGATTAAGTTAAGGTTTTGAGGTGGTATATTAGTAAATAGGTAACTTTAGGTGTTTAATAGGTAAATATGATAGTTTTAAGTGTTATACATGTAAAAACCCCTAATTTTTTTTATGATAAAAACAGAAGAAGTCACTTTTAACAAATGTTAAATCATTTAAAAGTCCATCTTTAATAATTTTCATCGTCGTGATTGCGGAGGTTCGTAAGCTTTGGCTACCGAGAACTTCAAATTAAAGACCTATTAATTGATAATTGATATTCAATCTCTCAATTAATAGATCAAAATGAGGTGCATGAAAAATAGTCTATATATGATGGTCACAACAGACATAAATTATTCTGTTCGGTCACCGAATAGTTCAGAAAAAAATTAGAACGCGTCATGGCAACCTGATAGTTACTGAGGCACCGAGCGGTACACAACAAAAAATGACATAGTGCATTCTCATTCCCTTCTAAACGTCGTTTGATGACCGCACAGAATAATTTCTCCGCAAAGGCACACTTTACCTTACTCAAAATAGATCATTAACCATAGCTTCCTGCCCTCGAAACTGTATGCTTTATATTGTAATAAACTAACATTTGTAGCATTTCAAAAGCTATGTACTTTTTTTTTTGTCGCATTACATAATTTTCTTTTCGTCATTTCTTCTTAAGAAAATTGATGTTATATCATTTAGTTATTTTCCATGTTATCAGTATCAACTGGCATCCGGCAACAATTTATAGCGAAGAAAGTTTCAGTGCTATATCACTAAATATCCAAAGTGGAAGCCGGTTCTAATCAATCTATGTGATTTTTTTTTTTTTTTTAATTACAAGATGGCACACTACTTGAATAAAATCCTAATCAATTAGTGATAAGTATAGCCACAAATATTTTGCAATGTGTTAATGTGAGTGCTAATGTAGAAGATGTTGTTGTCACTGTTATCATCTTCATCATCATCGCCATCGCAGTCTTACGCGGTCATCATTATCAACAATATCATCATCATTGTCAATAATACAAACACCACATTGCCTATAAGTTTAATGTATATCATCGGCACCAATATTGATGCATGTTGACTTTTTTGCACATGGACGGAACTGCTCGTTAATTAAGGGGGGCAATTGCCCCCCTTTAAAAAAATTATTTTTATTAGAGATGGGGTAATTAGGTAAGTTAACCCCCTAAATATATTATGTTGCCCCCCCCCTAACCAGCCGAAACCACTCAGAAAACAGCGAATGCGCAAGACGGCGAGAGGGAAGAGTTTGTTCCGACGTTCGTGATTCGCAACTGCCTCCGGCATCGGGAGATCTACGTCAGTTTTGATTTTTGAACACATTGATTGATTGTTGTGTTTGTTATTTTTGAACACATTGCTGAATATGAGAAGCATTTTTTATCTTCTTTGCTTAGGAAAGAGGATTGAATGTGTTCTTTTGGAAGTATATTATGTTTTCTTTATTTGAGATGAATGAAACAGAGCTTAGTATATAGGTTATAAGAGCTCTCAAGTAAAATCTCCCTTTCTTTGGAACAATGAACAGAGCTTTAAGTATATTATGAAACAGCTCATGGGAAGGCTTTTTCAACACCGATATTCCCTAAGCAATTTCTTTTTTGTTATCGTTGTTACAGAGAGTTCTTATCATTGTTACTTCCCTCAATTAAGAGCTCTGAATGAAACAGAGAGCTCTTGAGTTGAATGAAACAGCTTTTTCTTTATTTGAGATGACTGAAACAGAGCTCTGTTCATTGCTTGGGTTTAAGCTCTGTTCATTGCTTGGGTTGAAGCGGGTGTTCTGATTGATATAATGGAGTCTTTTGATTTTATTTTTATAATGCATCTGATGATTGATATATTGGGCATTACGAATGAGCTATCACAATCATTGCAAAGGAAAGATCAAGACAATGAAAATGCGATGAAATTGGTTCAAATTTCTAAACAACGATTGCAACTACTAAGGGAGAATGGATGGAATGCTTTACTAGATGAAATGTCACGTTTTTGTGGTGTTGTTCCAAACATGAATGAAACATACAAAACTCGTCGTCGATCAGTGTAAAGAGGTGAAGATAAAACAAATCTACATCATTATCGTGTTGATCTATTTTATAATATTATTGACATGCAACTTCAAGAGCTAAATAATCGCTTTTCTGAATCAAGTACTGAGTTACTTATTTATGTGTCATGCTTACACCCAAGTGATTCTTTTCGTGCTTATGATGAGAGGAAATTGATATGTCTAGCAGAGTTATATCCAAGTGATTTTTCTATAATTGAGGTTGTTGTTCTTAAAAGTCAATTATCAACGTACATTATTGATATGCGGACTAGTGAATAGTTCTCCTCTCTAAGAAGTATTGCTGACCTTGCAAAGCAGATTGTTAAGTTCAAGAAGAATGGCGTGTATCCTCTATTTTACAGATTTATTACTTTAGCATTAACTTTACCAGTTGCTACTACTATAGTGGAGAGAGCATTTTCAGCCATGAAAATTATAAAACATCGATTGCGTAGTAGGATGGATGATGATTGGCTCAACGATTGCCTTGTGCCTTACTTTGAAAAAGATGTGTTTGATTTGATTCCCAATGAAGATGTAATCCAATATTATCAAAAAATGCAAAATAGATTGATAAAATTGTAATGGTTTTCAATTAATATATCTTATTGGAATACAAGATTTCATTTTGAATTATGTCCTCATTTTGTTTTTTTTGTTTTTTAATATTTGTCTATTAATAAGAAAATTTTGGCCCCCCTAAAATGAAAGGCTGGTTCCGCCCTTGTTGCATATAATCAATTTCTTTGTTTGAACATTTTCTAAGACTTCGTTTAGAATGATTTCTTACTATTTTTTAAAACAAATTTTTAATAGAAAAAATAATTTTTTCTACTAAAAAGTTAATTTTAAAAATAATAAGAAAATAATCTCAAACAAAACCTAAATATGGCCATTTTCTAATGAAATCTTTAGCCAAGACATTTTTTTTTTTGCGAAAATTGAACAAAATTTTCTTTTAAATAATTTTCCTCTGTTTTCTGCAGCAGCCCAAAAAGTGGCGCCCTGCACGTTCACACAGTCGGCGGGTATGGCCGACCGGCTGACAGGAACATTACCAAATTTTTGTGCTCGCTAAAATCTTTTTTCAACATAATTTTAATATTTTTAGAGCTTTACTGAGCCACTCCAACTAATTTTAAGATAATTTGAAAATTTTAGAATAATTAATTTCAAATTTTTATGACTTACTTTTCTCTAATTTAAGAAAAAAATTAGTTAAAAATCTACTTTTTACAAAAAACTTTAAAAAAATAACTTTCCTCATAACAACTTTATTATCAATTTTAGAAAAAAATTGCATACATTAGGAAAAATTATTTTATGGGGAGTCTGAATGCAAAGTTGCATCCGGACTGTGAGTGTACATAATGTGAATACACCATGTACGTTTATTTTTGTACACTATATACACTCAAAGTCCAGACGTAATTTTACGCACGAACTCCGCACAGAATAATTTCTCCCTAAACAGACCCTCAATCAATCTTAAATGCTTTCGCTAGACAAGACTGGCCTAGAAAAACATATTTTAACACTATAGTGTTTAAGCTGCACTAAGACAAGCATAATCACCTGTACAACCAAACACAACTTCATAGGCTTACCTTTCTAAAAATTTCACAATTTGCACTCCTTAAGAATATGTGTATTACTATGCCAATCTACTTTATTCCAACCATTTTGTTTTAATCATTGGCTAACATAAAACTAATTGGGAATGAAAGCATCACCATTACACAGTTCATCTTAGTCTGTTGGTTGGAAACTTTAACTACCAACTAAGAAGTCTTAAATTTGAGTCTTAGATACGTAATATGTGTATGAATTTATCTTAATTAACCTAAATGTCCAACGTCGCCATGAGCTTTTACTCCTCACCATCAGCTCACAATCGAATGTTCTAACATGCTAATTTCTAACAAGATTGCATGAACTTTTAGTGCTCATCTCTCTCAAAAAAAAAAAAAAAAAAAAAAAGAAGGCAAGAAAGTGAGTGTTAGCTTGCTTAATCTGAGTTCATGGTTCATCAAATTTGTCTATTACTACTACTACTACCATTCCTCTCATATATATGTATTACAATGCACAACTTTAGTTACAACATGCTAACAAAACATTGGAAGCAAGTAAAATGCAGCATAGTCAAATTCTGGAGAGAGATGAACCTTCAGAACTGAATCCCACAATACAATTGAGACTTTAAGCATTCTCCATCACTGCCTCATTGATTTCCTCGATATGATCCCGCAGTACTTCCCACTTCACATGAGAGAATAGAACGTTAGAGCAGAAGAAGAAGAAGAATTGTGATTTATTCAATGGTACTGCGAGAAATATAATTTTGAAAGGAAGATGTTCATGTACCTGATCCAAGGGTAGAGAGATACCTGTATGTAGAAGAATAAAAGCATAAAATAAGTGAATAATTACTAAGAATTCTAAAATGCTTAAATCATCAAAATGATTAGATGGCAGGTGATGATGAGTTTATGTAGTTTTATTTCTAGCTTTCTACACAGAGGACTAAAATCTCCAGAACGGAATGTAAAAAAAGCAGCATTACTTACCTACAGGTAAAAGATAAACTTTTTTACCAAATAGGTACACAATGACTACCATGCTGGCAACCCAAAAAAAACATTAAAAAAAAAAATTTCTATTACTGTTAAATCAAAACCATCTGTGATATAAGCAGCGAACCGTTGGCACAAAAAAAATGTTTTAACTTTTGAGTATGATTCAGGCTTAATTTCATTTTTTATCTCTGACCTTAGTGTAATCAAATTGGAATTGGTAGAAAATGAAACAGTAAAACTATAAGGATAAAACTATTGGCAAGAATAAAAGCAATCAGGAGAAGAGAAAAACATATAAGCAACGCGAGTTATTAATTTCTCAGAGAAATCATCAATATGAACTACAGCAAAAGACCTGGTTCAACCTTTTTTTTTGTTGTTGCAAGGTTCAACTAGATGAAAAAACACAGCTAATGTTGCCATTGGAGCAGCAAACCATATAAAAATTAGGGGGGTATGTGAGCTAAGCCTAATCAAATATGTCTTGTTAATGAGCTCATGAGTTGAGCTTATCAAGCACGAGCTTTAGCTTGAGTTGAAGATTACAACTTGTCTCATATACCAACTCGAGTTTGAGCTTGACCCTCAACTCTTTTGCTCGTGAACCAACTCGATTAAAACCATATTCTTCATTCCTACCTGTGGATTTAGAGCTTGCTGAGTCACACAATCCTCATCTTCTTCAAATGTCATCGATCTCTTTGCTACCTGCTCCAATGAGCTTCTATTGTGACTTCCCCGAACATCAGTGATTCCATCGCCGCCTTATCTAGCAAGCTTCCACCACAAACTTCCCCCTTGCCCGCAGGTACAATCACAAGCTTCTCCAAAAAGCTTCGATTACAACTTCCCCCCTTGTTTCTAGTATGATCATTGCCTTCTCTAGCAAGCTCCCGTAGAGACTTCCCCCTTGTCACTAGTTCGCCCAATAACTTCTCCCGTCGATTCCATCTCCAATGAGCTCCAATCAATATTATTGAATGCCTCTTGTAAGGATTTCAAAATTTTGGCTTGAGCTTGTAAGACGAGCTCAAGCTTATTATTATTCTAGCTAGCTGAGCTCAAGTTAGCCAAAAATAAAACTCGACTCAAATTGTTTATAACCCTAATAATAATACATATCATGTATAAGAGAAATGCAAATTAAGAAGATTTCTTGAACGTTGATATTTGATCCAAGCTTCTATATAATAATCATCATTAATTTTATCCCAACTATTTTGCAGTATGTTTATAAATCATAAATCATCCCCCAATAATTTATTTTGAGTGTTAACATTAACTATTTAACTCTAGTTTAGTAGATATTTTCAACCACTCCAAAATTTACTTTTGGTCAACCTTTATCCCCTTGACAATAATCATTTATCTTCACATTACTTCTACCCTCCAATAGACAAGATGAAATTATCTTGTGTTTAATAAGCACTACCATCAACTTTATTTGAATAAAAGCATTTAATAACATTCTCATTTCTACCACTGCCATTATTGAGTCTGAAGCTCTAAATGAGATAAATGAAGGATTGTGTTAGATAGTTGACAGCTAGAGTAAAACTTGTCGAACAATGATGTCATTAAGCTCTTAATATATTGTGTTAATGTTAGGGTATTCCTTGAAAGTGACGCATTGTATGGCTTGAATACAGTGAAAAGTATGCAAGGGTCATTGCACTGGGACACGGGTATAATGTTAATTAAGCAAGGATTACCATGTCATAGGCGAATGTAAACAAAGAATCTAGCCCATGAAATTAGAATTAGGCTAGGAACTTGGAATATAAATTCTTTTACAGACAAATTAATGAAATTGATAGATATTATGCTTCATAGAAAAATAAATATTATATATATTAAAATAAATAGGCGGAAGAAAAGGCTGAGAAGATAGCTTAGGATTTAACTACAGTATTCAAATAAGAGTCGTGCTAAAAATAATGTAGGTGTAATTATATGTAAGAGTTTGAAGAATGATGTTGTAGCAATTAATAAAATTGGAGATATAACTATATCTTTAAAGATTGTTATTGATACTAAGATTATTAATATTATAAATGTTTATGCTTCTAAAGTACATTTTAGTGTTTTCAAAATTAAAATTTTGGAATTACTAGAAAAAAAATATTAAAAACACCTCTTGAAAAAAGAGTTTTTATTGGAGGAGATTTAAATAGACATGTTGATATGATAAAAAAAGATTTTAATCATTATGGTTATGAATTTAGAGCGACTAATGAAGGTGGATTTGACCATATTAGATTCTGCTCTAGCTTATGATTTCGTAGTTGCTAATATCTTATTTTAAAAAAAGAGGTTAGCTTCATCACTTTAAGAATAGATATAATAAAACTCAGTTTGATTATTTTTTTATAAGGAAAATAAAAGTCATTCCAAGTTAAAGTTATGTATCCAAAATCATTTATTAGTTTTGAACTTTAAGATGAAGATATGGAATATGAAAAATAAAGTGAAATATTGTCCTAGGATTAGATAAAAACATTTAAAGAACGCTAATAAAATATTTTTGGGAATAAGATTCAAAGTCTCAAGATTTGGAATATTCATGAGAAACTAATATTATGTGGGAAAAAATAGCTAGTGATATTAAAAATGTTGCAAAATAGGTGCATGGACAATTAAAATCTAAAACTTCAATTAGTAAACTTAGTTGTTGGTGAAATTAAAATTTACAAGAAAAGATATAAAAAAAAGAAACTTTATTATAAAAAATGATTTAGATATAAAAGTTCAAAAAATTGAAAAAGATATAAATAAATACATATGGACTCCAAGAAAGCAACATGCAATGTAAAGAATTTAATTTTTAATAATTTTTATAATAGATTAAATACTAAAGAGGGTGAAAGATGTATGTACAAGTTAGTTAAACAAAGAGATGTAAGAAGTAAGAATCTAGTTCAAGTGAAGTGCATTATTAAGGATGAAAATAAAAAGAGTGGTTTTCTTAAAAAAAGATATTTCATATAGGCGGATGAAATATTTCATTAAGTTTTTCAATGAAATTTGTGAGAATACGATTGACGTTAATGACCTTAACTACATAAATTAAAAAAGATATTTTTATTTTCATCGTCGTATTAGTAAAATCAATATATATGTGAAAATGTTGGAGTAGCTCCAGTGGCAGATAAGATTAGAGAGAGTCGCCTTAGATGGTTTGGACACATAAAACATCGACCTTATGATGGCCCAATTAGGAGAGTAGATAAATTATATCCGGCTTATATTAAGAAAGGTAGAGGTAGACCTAAAAAGTCTTTGTTATAAAGTATTATAAATGATTTTTTTAATTAGATTTAAATGAGAATTTGAATCTTAATAGGACACGATAAAGAAAAAAGGATTCATATAGCCGAACCCGTGTAGCGGGATAAAAGCTTGTTGTTGTTGTATTTCTACCACGCTAAAGTTTTAGCGGGTTTTTTTTATTGTTCAACACTTGCATCACATAATTGTTACGTGTTAAACTAGAAGCCGAGCCTTTATTGTTCTTCCATTGATTGTAAATTTGCTTCTCTTGACTCCTCGAATTTCACTGATCCAAAATAAAATCATTTAAAATGCCAACGCAGATAATAACCTTCTCTTCATCAAAACCTAAGCATGCTGGAAAAGATGGTGTGTTAACCGGTGACGAATGATCAAAAGGATAGTAAGGCCCCAATAATAAAATAAATAAATAAATAACAATCTCCAAAAAGAAAAAAACATATATCGTTGGGGAATTAGCATGCTAGTGATAAAACCAGTCAAGAACACCTATTCATTTGAAGCACTCCTTAAACTATCCTTATCATCAATAAAACTGGCAAGAAAATTGGGAGAAGAAATAATTAGCATATAACAGAACTTAGCATAGGCATGCAGCAACAAGTACTAACTAGTTTCACTGTTATACTTCAGCAGTCTCATAATGCACGACAAGTACGCAATCCTTTAAGACCCTCCAAAGTCCAATAAGAAACAAAAAAGAAACGCAAACTTCATAATGATCTCTACTGTGGCCAGAAAGGGAAGATATATTCTTCAGAAAGGGACTAATGCCAGCCCTTTTTTAATGCATGCCTACCACAATAGGAGATTGTTAGATGTGTGTGTGTGTCAGTGTGTGTGTGTGTGTGAGAGAGAGAGAGAGAGAGAGAGAGAGAGAGAAAGGAAGAGAGAGAGGGAGAGAGAGAATTGAAAAATATTACATCTTTATTGAATTTGTCATACTAGTACAAGCATATACATATCTATATATAGGTAATAGATAATGGCAACCAAGAAATAAATAATAAATAAAAATCTTCTCAATAATAAGAAGATAATGAAAATAATGAAAATTCCAACTAGAAATAAGTTAAACACATGTGATAATTTAGATATGATAACATTCATCTATAAATTCAATGCGGCAGAGAAGATATGAACTTATATTTGAAAAAACATAATGATCAGAGATGAAGTAATTAAAGCTTTTGTTACCAAGAGGCTGCCGAGTGTTATAAGAGAAGCACAAACAATTCGTGAAAGAGACAATTGTGTGAATCAGACACAGCACTGACAACGAGTATAGTTTAAGACATGGCATTGATAAGATAATTAAACAAAGGTATTGATAGAGATCATTTCTTGGGATATCACTGGACGAACAATATTGATAAAGAGCATTGATAGAGAGATTTCCTATCATGTCATTATTAGCTATCATACGAGGAGAGTGAATGTGAGTATGTATGGCGTAGTATTTTTTTAGTTTTAAGGATGCTAAGAGTGCAACATCTTGTTTTGTGTCGCAATTCAACCATGTAAGAGAGTGAGTAAAGCAAAAGCTATAATTTTTTATGATTCATACAATAAGCTTAGTATTAAGAAAGCAGAAAATGAGATATATAGAATATATAAGCCCATTGATTAAAATTTTAAGAATTTTGATAATAGGACGTTAACTCAAATAATAAAAACATCAAGAAAAAAAATGAAAATGTTAGTCTGAGAAATTATTAAAAGAAATATTTACAAAAGAAATTATTTTGTAAGAACATGATTAATAACATAGTAATGTATATTAGAGATTGATAAAAAAAAGGAGTAAGCACTTAAAAAAAAGAGACTTAATGAGATTTGGGGAGTTTGGAAGATATTTCAATGATTTTGGATAACAAATTTTTTTTCTAATAGAATGTTGAAGACTAAGAGTATGCCAAATAATTGGGAAAGAAGTAATTTAGCACCAATATTTATGAACAACGATAATGTTCAAAGTTGTATTAATTATAAAAATATTAAACTTTTAAGTCATACAATGAAGCTATGAGAGCGAGTAATGTAACATGGGCATAAAAAAAAATTACATCAATTTCAGAGAACCAAATTAGTTTCATTCCAGGAAGATCTATTATGGAAGCTATTTTTATGTTAAGATAATGAATAAAGAAGCATAGAAAATAAAGAAAAGATGTTCACGCAATTTTTATTAATTTTGAGAAGTACTCTAATCCAATATCACAAGAATTTATTTGGTGCATTATGAAAAAAAAGAGTGTGTTTAACGTATGTGTATGATTAAAAGCTGACAAGTATTAAAAGTAATTGTGGAATAATCCATAAGTTTTCGATTACAATAGGTCTGCATTAAGGATCAGACTTGAGTTTCTTATCTTTCTCTATTGCTATGGAGATGCTCATAAAAGACATTCAAAATGAAGTTCATTGGTGTAGGTTTTTTTTAGATGATATAATTCTAATGGATATATTATGGAGATAAAAAACTGCAAACAAACAATTGAAAACTATATAAATACTAATATCAATGGCTTATTTTGGATTATAACTTCAATACAAAAAATAAGATACATGTGATCTATAATTCGAGAGGTAGATCGGCTCTCCCAAACAACCTAGACACCGCTAGGAAGCCCTGACAAAAAGAAAACTACAACAACTCTCAAATAAAATTCTCCATACTAAACATAACATAAACCCTACTACTTATAGCAAATAATAAACAACAAATATCAAAGCAGCCCTCCCCCAATCATCCCTCAAATTTTCCCTCTTTAATTAGAAAACATCTCCTAATTAATCTCCTTCAAATCAGCCCCCAAATCTATCCTCTTCAATTAGGAAACATCTCCTAATTAATCTCCTTCAAATCAAACCCCAAATATGCCCTTTTTAATTAGGAAATATATCATAATAAATCCCCTCCAAATCAGCCCCCAAATCAGTCTTCTTTCCTTATTAATTTTCATTTCCTATTTGAATTCAAATAGAAGATCTTCTCCTAATTAATTCCCTCCTTAATTACCCTTCTAACATAATTAACTATTACTTTCTTAGACCCCACAAGAAGGGCCGAAACCTCCCTGGATTTGGTTCTAGGTTCGGCCCCCTCCACTGCCTGTTGGTTCTGCCAATCTAGCCTCACTTGGCCTGCAACCATAACAATATAAAATCCACTAAAATATGTGAAAAATTAGATGATGGAGGAAATGTTTAGAAGATAGAGATCCTAGAATTAATAGAACAAAAATTGAGTACATGATATCTAATTTTAGTGATATGTTGTTAATAATCAATATTCAACATTACTAAAAGATGATACTCAAGTGTGATAGGCATAAATATCTTGAATTTATTGTATAATAGAATGGAGGTACAGATGATGATATAACTTTTAGACTTAAGGCTAATAATTAAAATAATGTCTCTGGAGTTTTGTGTATTACGATGATATAATGAAGGCTTGAAGAGAAATTTTATAAAACGACAGTAAAATCTATGATCTTGTCTAGATACAAAAATTAAGCTATCAAAAAATCATTGATATATAAATTACGTGGAATATAAATAAGAACGTTAAGATGAATATATGACAAACTTAGGATCTTCATTATCATCAATCTCATGAACAATTCACACATTTTCTTTTTGTAAATTATATTTTGTTTATAATGTCACTTGAGCTTTGGGCTGTCAAATAAAAAAATCCTAGCACCATCTAAACCCTAAAATAGAGGCATATGCATCATTACATTTCCTTCAAGGCGCACCTTAAATAATTGAAACATATGCCTCTTTCTCTATTGTGAGATGAGAGCCTCAAAACATTTTGCATGCACCTCAGGGTGAGGCACATGCAAATTGCACAATTTTAAACTATAGTTTTATTTAAAGGTTCTATTTTTCTTTCTGCTTTTTTTTAATTTAACTTTGGTTCAAACTAGAGTAAGTTATGGTTACATTTCTTTATGTTTTATTTTTCTTTGCAATGCAATATGTTCTTATCAACTATAAGTTCGAAAACAATATGAGATTAGGCTTTTGAGTTGTGCAATCAGGTTGGGACATGCAAATGGGTGCAAGAAACCAATATGCTTGATGAAAAACTCAATTTTGGTTCTTTAAAGGCATGTTTATGTTAGCTTATTAAAATAATTGAACAAGTTTGAATAAAAATTGAAAACTTGACATTAAAATAACAAGCTAGAACATTGAACCACTCTTCGCTTATGTTTGTTAATATAATTGTTTGTTATTTGACAAGAAGCTAACAAAGGGCTAAATGAAATGCCCATTCAATTATAGCTCAATGACATATTAATAAATTGTTCCTATTATTGTATCAATTTGACCATACTATGCAGTATGCACCTAAGAAATAAGGCATTTTAGTGAAGTTCTAAGTATGAATAGAGTAAGTAAATATCTAGGCGATTTGATTTATATTTAGCATTCTTTATCACTATTGTCAAAGGTTTTATTCAAATTGTATCAAGACGGGCATATATTGGTGATCAATCAAAGTGTTTGGAGTTGGGTTGTATTGGGATAACAACTCTAACTATTTGTCTTATAGACTGCGTTCTTTTTTTTTAAATAGGGTGGAGATTGGATTATATTTGATTTCCCTGTTCATTTGGGTTGCAAAAAACAAAAGAAAATTCTCACCAATGATTCTAAGTTCTCAAGTCATAAATAGTGAATTATATTAATTTTGATGAACATGCATAAATACATTTATGTTTGATAGATATGTTAAATGTTTAAGCTGTTAGCATCTCACAACTTTTAGTTAGGCACATTATAGTTCAAACCCAATCAAAAAAATTAAATAAAAGCTTAAATAATATTATAAGACTTAGGTCATGATGTTCAAATTTGGCTCGAAATAGATAAGAAAATAAATGGATAAATTTGAACACAGTAGCACTTCACTTGTTTCAAGTCACTCACATTTAGTTAAGTTGGGACTAGCTTCTTGAAAAAAAAAAAAAAGAATAAGCAAGTTCATTATAAAGGGTAACTATGCCATAGTTGTATATGAATTAGCAAATAACATCAAATTATATAAGAATAGATAAAAGGGCTTCAAACTTCAATAAAATGTATAATCAAAATAAGAAACGTCTCAAGACAAGTACCCATAATATCACTATGTGCTGGATTTAAACAGAACAAATAGACGGTTTATCCAAGGTCAAAGCATGAAGAAAACAAACTACAAGAACCTAGAAGCTTTAGACTTGGAAGAAACGGCTAAAAACCAGATAGTTTTAAAGTTTTAACCGGGTAGTTTTAAACATTTTTTTCTAGAAACGCCACGGTTAAAAGTAAAAAACGAAAATTACTAGCAAGAAAAAGGGAGACCTTTCTTCCCAGGGAGCTCCTTCCCGTCCTTGGAGTAAAATTCCCTGATATCCACCACAATTCGTCCCTGCCAATTTCTCACAGTAACCCTCCGGCCCTTCGACAGCTGCAACGGCAAAAAAGATCGCCTTTCATATCCGAGAAAGTGTAAGAGAGACGGAGAGAGAAAGGACATAACTACAGGTAAATTGTCTGAGACCTCGCAGACGACTATATCACCGCTGCTATCGTCAGAGTCCGTCTTGGCGAACTTTGCCGGTTGGGCCGAGAATCCAGCGCCAGAATCGCCGCCATACCTCTTCCCCTTCCTCCACATTCGCACCGGCCGATGTTGACGAGAGGATTGTTTTTGGTTTTACGAATGACAGCACGAGGGCATAAATGGGTGCAGGGCTCATTATTCGGCAAATTATTGCATCCGGGGACGTGTACATACTTCGGATATTAATAAAATATTATTTTAAATTAAGCGTATCAAAAGCGTAGTTAAAGCGCAAACGCTGGTCAAAACGCAGTCAAAAGTGTAGGTAAAGCGCAGTCAAAGCACAACCAAAGCGCAACTAAAGTGCAAGTCAAAAGCGCAAGTGACGTGGCAACTTTTTATTGGATGTCCGAATCTATTTTCCGCGTCCGGTGACCTGATGTAATAATTTGTCTGATTATTCTGATAATTTATTGACGGCGTTAGGAGAAGGTAGATATGTGAGGTTAGAAAATTTATTAGGCCCGGAGTGTGCACCGTTCGCATAATTATTGAGCACGTAACGGTATCCAACGATATCTAGCGGTACTGAATGTGGTACCGTTAGGTACCCAATATTTGTGCGGATGGTTCTCCCCGTCCGCACTCCGCACATAATAATCTTTCGTGAGGTTATACTATGTACATATTTATTTATATATAGTATATTTTAATTACATATATATAGTATATTTTAAATCAATGTATATATTATGTATATATATATATATATATTTAAACATTATGTGTATAATCATAATCCGAATGATTCATTCCATTGGATGTCACAGAGAATAATTTATCATTATTCTCAACTCCAACTAAGCACGACTTACATTTCTTGGTGCCAAAAATTTTCATTGGCGGCCAAAACATCAATGCTTTTTTAAGTTGGTTGTTATTGAATTTGATCCCAATAATATTCATATAAAATTTAAATGAAATTTGAGATTATATACATTTAAAATTAATGCAAATTTGAATATTGTTCAAATCCTAATCAAATAAGAATCGAGCTTGTTACGTCGTGAAATATTTGCGATGGTAGAGAGATATCGAGTATAGCGCCCAAATTTTATACGAAGATCCAACGCACAGACAGATAAAAGAAAGAGGTGCAAGTCATAAAAACAACAAAACTTTTACATGAAAAGCAAAAAAATTACGAGGGTCTGGTATTGTTAAAATTATACCACTAATATATATTGTTGATTCTAAATGATGTCTTCTCTTGGGGGAAGGCATTGGCTTGATGTAAAAAATATACATTATATGATAGGAGTTGGAAGAATCTAATGATATGAGAGTTGTTCTCAAGAGAGTGTTGGCATGTTCTTTTGGTCAGTAGGATCATATTGGGTCGATAGTAGTCAGAGGAATCATAGTTGGCGGGCGACGGTCAAAGTATTCGTAGTTGAACAGTGACAGAGGTCAGAGGGACTGTAGTAGATGCACAATTGAGGTCAGAGGACTTGTTGTCGGGGGACATAGAGGTCGAGGGGACTGTAGTCGGCGGGAGATCGAGGTTGCATGGACCGTAGCTGATGGGTGACGAACTGCAGAGGTTAGAGGGATCTTAGCCGGCGGGCAATGGAGGGGAGAATAGTGTCTAGCTAGCTGCCAAAAATTTATTAATAAGTCACAACAATGATTTGAAATCACAAAATTTAAAATAGATTGCATTAGATAGAAATAACAATTTATCAAAAAGTTTATTCTTGGATAATAATAATTTTAAAATTTTGTTACAAATACTATCTGTATGAATCAGTATGAAATCAAAATATAAATTAGATTTTGATTAAATATTAACCTTTTAAAAACTTCGTAAATAAAAGAAGAAGAAAAAAACAAACCAATATGTGTGATTTATGCCTATCGTAATGACTTATGCATTCAATACATTATCTTTTGCATACTAATAATAATTATATTTCAGTAAACTTATAAAATATTTTATACAAAAATAAATTACTTCGCCAGAATATGAAACAATCTATTTTCCTATTAAAAATATTGTTTATAAATAAATTATCATATATATTAGGAGGAGGAATTAAGATTAACTGATTTAAAAACTTTATATAATTTCTTGTATAAATTTATCACAATTTTATTATTATTATTATGTGAAATTCTTGATTAGTTCGTCAGATACGCGAGAATTGTTTTGTGGGGAGTAACCGTCCGGATATGTGAGTGTACACACTGTGCATACACAGTATATATAAAAATTTGATACACTCTGACTCTGTGTATAAATTTCTACGTTGTGTGTACACTCACAGTTCGAATAATTCTTCCCATGTAAGCTCTATACATAATAATTTTTCCAAATAAGAGATGTTTTTTGATATTTCTACACTTATAATTATCGATGTATGCACCATACAAAGCACGAGGGGTTGACTTAAGCTGGATTAACTATTGCTTAAGCGTCAAATAATTATTTGAAAGCTTGCTTAAGCTCATCTTAACTCATGGGTTGACTTAATGACGAGATAAGCTAATAAATGTAGCTCTATCAATGCTTAAGCTTGAGAGCCCACTTTTAATTGGAATTAAATTAAGCTCATTAGAAATTTAGTAATATTGCGTCTTGGAGTATTCACGGCGGTAGAGAAATATATAGTTTAACGTCTTAGCATTGTATGAAAATCTAGAACACAAGCAGATAAGAGAGAGAGTGTTGCGTTCATAAGAGACACCAAAGTTTTTACATGGAAACTCCTGAAAAGGGAGAAAAAACATGGGGTTTGGCCCATTTTGAATAAATCCACTAGTATTTGTAGTTGATTACAAATGAGGCCCTTCATTGGGATAAGGACTTAGCTTAATCGTACAAATGTACATTATATAGAGCGCATTACATTATGGGAGTTACAATAATCAACATATATATTTGTTTGATTTGAATGACCATAGTCGGTAGGAGACAGGGGTCTGAAAGATCGTAATTGGCAGGGGACCAGAGTCAGAAAGATCGTTGTCTGGCGAAGTAGGTCAGAAGGACCGTAGTATGCAGGAGACCGAGGTCAGAAAGCATTGTCTGGCAATATAGGTTGGAAGGACCGTAATTAGTGGCCCATGCAGGTCCGGGCCTTAAAGTGGTGGTTCAGCAGAAGTTCGAGCCTCAGGTGGTGGTCCGGCAGAAGTCCAGGCCTCAGGTGGTGGCCTAGTCGAGCAGAGAGCCTCAAGTTGTGGTCCGGCGGAGCAAAAACGTCAGGCGGTGATCCGGTGGAGTAATGATATCAGGCGGTGGTCCAGCGGAGGTGAGGGCCTCAAGCGATGATTCGATGGAGCAAAGGCGTCAGGCGGTGGTCCGACGGAGTTGAGGACCTCAAGCGGTGGTTCGGCGGAGTTCAGGTGGTGGTCCGGCGAAACTCTGACGGTGGTCAAAGATGAGCATCTTCCTTCTCTTCTTACTTCTCTCTCTCTTATTTGCTTGTGTGTTGAATATTCGTACAATGCTAAGACGTTAAACTATATATTTCTCTACCACCACGAATACTCCAAGACGCAACAAATAATATAAATGAATAAAAGGCAAGTAAATAGTAATTACTTTATTATTTAAAAAGGTTATAAATAATTAATAAGTCATTTAGACTAATCAAAATTTTATGAAACTTTTAACCATGCTCATTAATTTTCCATATCTATCAGCCATGATAAACTATGAATAATTAACAAATGCATATATAACAAAAGTAATTATTAGTTATATTTAATTATTTAAGGATTAATCAAAATTCTGATTAGGATTATTCAATTTCCAATGATCTTAAATTGTCGTAATTAATTGTGGAATAATTAATTAATTATTTAGGTTTTATTTGAGATTAATTTCTCACTATTCCATTTTTGAGATTGCAAATTGCAATCATAATTTCTATTAAAATGTGACTAAAATAAATGTTAAAATTTTGAATTTATTTTAAAATGAGTGAAAAATAAAGTATATTACATTAATCTAAGAATAAATATAATGATTTTAAATTTATTTGATAAAAAATTAATTAGAATAACCAGATATATTTTTATTAAAAATATTTATGAGATAAACTACATAATTTAATGAAAAAATATTTTATAAAAACTATAAGATTTTTCTATAAATAATACAAAACATAAATAATACAAAACAAGTATAATTTTGCACCATTTAAAAATATCACGTTATTACTTTTTAAAGCATAAATTTTCTATCTTGCAATTACTTTTTAAAAGATAATATAATATTTTGAACATCTGCAATACCCTTTTTTTTGGGTGGTATAATCTATTATTTATTTTACATTATTTTTAAATGAAAAAAACATTCCAAATTAAAGTTTAAATACCCAACTGAACAAATAAATGACTATATCATTCTGGAATTGTTAGCTACTTATCCAAAAACCAAGTTGGTACACTTCTCCTCACACGAGATTAGGTTAACTTAGGATCTGTTTGAGACTTCTGCAACTTTTAATAAAATTGTTTATAAAGTTATTGTGCGGAAAACAACATAGCTATTATAGTTGCAAAAAATAGGTTTAGACCTTAAATTTTTTTTAAAAACAATAACAAATTGTTGTTGTTGTCTTAAAAGCCAAGCAGCCAAAAAACAATCGAGAAGTTGTTCTGTGCGGAGTCCCGACGTAGAGATACGTTCGAACATGTGAGTGTACAAAGTGTATTTTTTGTACACAATATGTACAATCATAATCTAAACGTATCTCAATGTCTTAACTCCGCACATAATAATTTCTCTTTTAAACAGAACTTTACTTAAGTGATAGATCATAATCAAATATGACTGTTCTATAATAATAAATATTCCAAACTAATTAAGTGATCAACTTAAATATGAATCTTCTCCAATATTTTTTACTTTTTTAGACATAAGGATTAAGACTTAAATAGTTTTATTATTATTTTTAAAACAAGTATTTTAGTGCAAATTTTTTGTAAATTAAAAAAAAAAATTGTAATAAATCAATGATGCAATGAGACGATGACAAACAACAAGGCTAGTCAAAAGGCAACGAGCGATGGTTATTAATGATGGCAACGGAATAACATTAGCATCTGAAATATAGTGCCATAGAGTTCATATTTAAAAAAGAAAAAAAAAATAGAGTTCATATTTTAAAAATAATATGCGCAATTAAAAATTATTTTTAGAGTTTTAAAAATAATTTGTTTTATTTCAAAAATAAAATGTACAAATAATTACAAAATATTATTAAAACATGACTTAAAAAAACAAAAATTGATGCGAGACAGCTACCCTTCAGAAAACTTTGGCTTTGTGGGCTGAGACTAGGGGTGTCAATTTCGGGTCACGGGTCGGGTTCGGGTCAAACCCGAACTGACCCGGGTGGAAAACGGGTCGACCCTAACCCGACCCGGGAGAGAAACGGGTCGAAAATCCGAACCCGAACCATGAAAAAACTACTTTTTCGGCGATATTTTATATTAGTATGTGTTTAAGCCGTTTCAGTAAGTCATTAAAAGTATTGTAAAAACATGATTAATCATTAGTGGATACAAAAGGCAATTTGCTCAAGACAAAATTCATACAAATATCCCGAAAGATTTTTGCTCACACATTATGAGGTTTCTTTTCGGCATGCGGTTCATGGAGATTCACAAGCTTCTAGTTGGCCTCATATAAACATCAAGAGCCATTAAAAGGACTCCAGAGTTACTGGAACAACATAGCTCATTTTGATCCATTAGTTTAAAATTTTGACTATTTGTAAAAAAAGATTTTGAATTTGAATATTCCTTAATTAACTTAAAAAAAATTGTTCCAAAAAAAATCAACAAAAACTATATATAATTGATCATATGATCTCATCTCATCCATGTGCACAGAAATCATATTGTCCCTTATCCACTCAACAACACTCATTCTTCCTCATAATGATGTTACCCAATTTCCAAACAATATCTCCTATTCAGCATTGTTAAACACAATTTTCATTTATGAAACTATCAGAGAGTAATCTTGAAGATAGATCTAATCCGTATTCCTAATTAAGCTGCCACTTACTCTTAACTCTATTCGTTAAAAAGTTCATACAAAGAAGAACTAAACATCTTAAACAAAAACTCAGTTTTAACAAGCTAAACAAATTAACCATAAGTAGCTATTTAGTTTATTGTATAACGACATCTTACAAGTTACAAGCCCGGCTAATATATATAGTTAACAAGAGCAAATTATTGAACACCAAAGCATAAAAACAAATTATTAATTAGTTAATTAATCCCTACAGACTGAAACCTCAGCTCCTTATCCATAAACTTTTGCTTGGCATAAATCTCCATATAATCCCCAAACACAAAGCTCGGGTAGCCAGCTTTCTCTATTTTCCCTCCGCCGCTCATCACCGCCGGCTCGATCACCGCCTCCAGCGCAGGGTTATAGAAGGAAGCAATAGAGCGACGGTTTCCGTTGGCCGAAGCGAGCACGCGGTGCAACGCGCTTTTGTAACGCCCGTTGCTTATGACCTCTATCTGATCTCCGATGTTTATTACGATGGTGTTGGCGAGTGGCTGAACGTCGAACCATTGGCCATTTTTTAGTACCTGAAGGCCGCCAAATTTGTCGTCTTGGAAGAGGAGGATGAGTCCGCCGGCGTCGGTGTGGTTTCGTAGGCCTCCGACGCGGTCAGGACGCGGGCAAGGCGGGTAGTGGCTTACTTTGGTGCCGAAGAAGGGGTTGTGGCTGCCATTACCTGAGAAGGTTTGTTTGATGTGGCCTTGGCTGAGGCCAAGGTTGTCTTCCAAAATGTTCAGCATTTTCTCTGCTAACTTCTTCAGCTCCAAACGGTATTCTTTCATTGTTTCTCTGTAGACATTTCATCGGCTCATCGATCAATATCAAGCTTTGTAACAAAAGTTACGGGTTTTGAGTTGAAATCCACATTTAATTAATTTTTTAACATTTTATGAGATAAGAATGACAAGTCATGCACATGATGGGGTTTTTATTACAGCATAAAATTCATTAATGATGGTCAACCTTATAAATAAATGTCTAGGGGAGTGTTGGTATAAAATTCATTAATGATGGTCAACCTTATAATCAAAGTTTCAGCTACTCAGAACCATGATATCATCTTCCTATCCATTTTTTTCTCGTGGAAACGGGTATCCACCCACTGCCATCCTCAAAAAGACGCTTGACGGTGTGAATAATCTTTGGCTAACCTAGAAGAGGCACCCACCCAAGAAATCTACTAGAGAATCGAGTACGAATTAGGGGGTTTTCAACCGTACTCGCTCACCAATCAAACTAAACAACGGTGAATAGTTCTATCCAAATTAATCAAGAAAAAAGTAGGAAAATTGAGGATGGAGTTCAGTGTTCATAATAATTACTTGAATTGAAGTGGATTGGATGGCCATTGGTTGTCATCCTGCAGGATAAAGACATCTTCCCAGTCCACATCATCCAATGTTTTGCAAGCTTCTCCACTATCAATTAAGTCATTCAGAAGCTGAACAGCCTTGGAATCCTTGAAGCCCTCCTCTCTCTCCATCTTATAACACTCCGAACAAACCTTCTTAACCCGGTCAAGAAGATCTAAGGGAATACCATGGTTCACCAACTGCAACAGCAATTGTTATAAACACAATTAATTAACATTATCAACGCTGGCTAATTAATGAATTAAGGTTTTAAAAAGGTGAAATCCAACCTGAAAGAAGCCCCATTCCTCGCAAGCACTGCCGATCTCCGCCATGGTCGCCGCCCTCTCCGAACCTTGAAGCTTCGATAAGTCGATAACTGGAACCGCCATTGTTGAAGACTTCTGCTTTACTTATCAGCTCACACTCTTTATGAAAAGGATGAGGAGAATGGAAGGAGAATAGAGCTTTTATAGTGCAATGATGCTGAAGGTCAACTATTTTGTTAATGTGGAGGGAATGTATTATATGAATAAAGAAATGAGGTATCGGTTTGGGCGGTGGCCTTAACGCATTTTACACAGCTTTAACGCGGAGAAAGGATGTAAGAAACTATATAGGGGTCAATGTTGACATAACTTTAGCTCTCTTTTGAAGCATCGAGATATCTGATCTGATGAGTCATCATATCAAAATTGAATTATGATTTGTATTGTTATAAATGATGGAATTTGACCTCCAAATATAAGAGTGATTTGTAATTTTTTTAAGCAAAGGAAGCATATTTTTTTTTACCAAAATGAAAATAAAAAAAAATTAAAATTTTAATTGCAAGGAGAAAGAACCAAATTAAGAACAGAACAAAAATATCAAAAGATTAAAAATTTGCTGTAAAAATAACTAAGGAAACTAATTAATAATCATAGCAATTTTTTTTTTTGAACGGAGTATCCACCCGCTGCCAAATTTAAAAGGCGATTGGCGGCGTGACTAATCCTTGGCTGACCCTAGAAAAGATGAATTATTAGGTACGGACACCGAACGTTGTCCAGAACACAACAAAAATACGTCATGTAACCCCTACTTGGTAATGTTGCTTGGTACAGAGCTCGATACTGCTAGGTACAAGATGACATGACTGCACCTGATTGGCATCTAAAAAGTAAGCTGTGTTTGATGTTAGCACAGAGTAATCTCTTCTAGAAAAAACACTCACCCAGACGAATTGGGTGTTCCCAAATGTACTTATCCACCAATCAAACTAAACATCTTTGAGTATCAGCAAACTACGCACTCCGACCCCGATGTATTCAGATGACATGACGCATCCGAATTCACCTCGAAACGGTGTGAAACCGCACATAATGCCATAATAATTTGGCGTGGGTATCATAGCAAGTTACCTGTCCACATCTTGTAGAATAGTACGAGGGAAAGTTCGCAGGAAGGTTCGTCATTTGGGCCCCATTTATGTCACGCATGATGAAATCATGCAATGATAGCTTTGCAGTCTCTATCATCTTGTTTTAAATTATAAATGTTATTAGTCAAATACCTGCACTGTTCACGAGCTCTAACTTATAAAAAATTACAGAGGCTCCGCATTTGCCGTCGACCTGTCACCATACAAAAATAAGATAAATCGAATAAATTGTCATTTTCTTAATTCTTATTGAGAATAATTTTATCTTTTATTAATGATTTTCTTTTAAATTCTGACTAGCTCATTTATTTATTTTATTTTAAGCCTTTAATCTTAAAATAAAATTTTAAAAACGTTGTTAAGATTAGCTTAACTCAATGATGAGATAGGCAAACCAGCACAGCTTTAAGCTTAAGCGCCCTATTTCGGTATGAATTTAATTAAGTTCATTAAAATTTTATTAGTACAAAATTATTAAAATCAAGTATAAGGTGAATAAAAGAATAATTTTTAATTTATATTAATGATAAATAATTAATAAGTCATTGTGATTTATTTTAAAAAATAAAAATTATAACCAAGTTCATTAATATTTTGTATACATCAATGATAACAACACTTAATTAATCAAAATTTGATACTTAATTATATTTAATTAGTCAAAAAATAATCTGAAATTTATTAATTAGCAAAGTTCTATCACTATTAAATTATAATAATCAATTCTTAAATTATATAATTAATAATTAGTTCTTACTCATAAGATTTTTAATGGAGATAATTCTGATATATTTAATTTTTTTTAAGATAATTTAATTAGCTAGGATTTATGCAGCTCATTTTGATCTATTAGTTGAGAGTTTTAGCTATCAAATAAAAAATATTGGGTTCTCTGCTTAGACTTTATTTAGAACAACTTTCTTATTGCTTTTATGTAACTACTTTTTTGTTTAAAATTTTTAGTTTCAAAAATTTTATAATAAACAGCTGCTTTAAAAAGTGATAAAAAGGTTGTCCCAAATGAAATCATGATTGACTCAAAAGTAAAAAAAAAAAAGAAAAAAAGTAGGATTTAAATAACACTTTATTATAATAATTCATGTTTAATTATAATTTACAACATCATGATGAGATAAGTAATTAGTAGCTTAGATCAAAATACATATGAATAACTTTTTTAACTTATCATAACTTATCTTGCTTATCTTTTTGGCCAACCACATTACTTAACCCTTCTCAAGATATTAATCCGATTTAATTTATTTGACTTAGGCTTTGTTCCTGACAACTTTCTACTGCTTCTTAAAATAATTTTCTAAAAATTTTATACTTAAAAGCTATCTTAATAAGTGATAAAAAAAGTCATCACAAACGAATCCTTAACATCTATTTGGGACTGCCATACTTCTCCAAGTCGATTACAAATTTCTACTTGTGACTAGAGGTGTCAATTCGGGTCAACGGGTCGGGTTTGGGTTGAACCCGATTTGACACGATCGTAAACGGGTTGACGCTAACCCGACCTGATTTTGCAAACGGGTCAGGTTTGTCAACCCGAACCCTACCCGGTCGGGTTACCGGGTTGACCCGATGTGACGCCCCAGGCATCCATAGTGAAAGGATTCGTCTGACATTCTGATCGAACTCCATTCCAGTTGCCTTGCTCGGACCTGAAATTGTTAACCACATATAATGAGCTACAAAGCCCAGCAGGTCACCAAAGCCTACAACTGAAATCAAAGCACGGCGATGCTATCAATATGCATGTCAATCTATCAATCTGAATCAGTCAATGGTCAATGAGTCTATGCAGTACAAAAATTCAATAGTCAATAAAGCCAGTCAATGCAGCAGCAAGCGAATCGATAAATCAACTCAATCAATCCACGTCAATCTCGAAGAAATCCGTACACAGTAGAAAATCAATCGATCCATCATATCAGTCAATCCGTCCGTCAAATCAATCCGTCAAATCAAATCAAATATAATCTATACTATCAAGTCGATAAAATCAATCGGAAAGCAATACGATATCCTATCAATAATTCAAATGTAGCAATCAATACAATGCAGAATCAATAGTATCAATGAGTCTATAAGCAGTATCAATAAATCTATAATATCCATATCCATAGCATCAATGAATCAATGCGATATCTATATCCATCCATATCAATATCAATGCTCAGTGTCGATGCACAGCAATCAATCAGTGAAATCAATGAAATCGTACGATCTAGTAAATTTTTTTTGTATTGATAAACCGCTTTAAGAAACAGAAAAAAGCTGTCCCAAACGAAACCTAAATCTTATTTAGCATTGGATGTGTAGTTATTCTCTACTAGCATAAGAATCTCAATAATATCTCTTCATATGATAATATGTTACCTCTGAAATTTGTATGAGAGTTGTCCTATTTCACATTCAATTTGGTTCTAAAAATTCTTGATTGAGCTTCTCTTGTGTGTAGAAAATACCATCAAATAACTTTCAACAATGAATATATTTTATTATTTTTAAATATCCAATTAATTATATATATCAATTATTTATTTACTTATTTATAGAAAGAAGAATAATGAATATGTGGCATGTACATATAGTTAATTGTTTTAAGAAAATCAATATTATTTAACATTTAACATTTGTTGCACGAATTATTATTCAATTTTTTTATTATTTTATAAAATTATTATAGAGAAAATAATTTCTTAAAGCTGTTGCAAAATAAAGTTTATAATTACAGCCTAAAAGCAAAGCAGTAAGAAAGCTATCCCAAATGTAGCCTAAAATATGATTCCTAAGAAAAAAAAGGAGAATATTTTAAAGATAAATTTAATAAATAAGCTCTAAGAATATAGTCGTTATATATCTCATCGAAGAATTTCTTGGGAGAGCCATTGTGCAAATTACTTGTGCAAAAAGAAACACAGTACTGTTCTCCAAACACGAGATCGGCCTAACTTAATTAGGTGATCGCTCGTACCCAAACATGAGCCTTCTATAATAATAAATATTTCAACTTAATTAAGCGATCAACTTAAATATAATTATGCTATAATTTGTACAGACTTGTTTGTTGTTAGGCTAGCATGATGATTAAACTATGTGATATTGCATTTACTGTGCCCATGAAGCCCTGCTCGTTTAGTGTTTTTTTTTAAGGGATTTAGGCTTCGTTTAGGGAAAAAATATTCTGTGTGGACGTTGAATGCCATCCGGAGATCAACCAGAATGCGCCACGTCGCCCTGTGCTCCGTACTGCTGACGTGGCGTGTTCTGATTGGTCTCTGGATGGCGTTCTGCATCTGGTCTCCGCGCACAGATTTAGCTTTTTAATTATTGCTTCTTAACGCAGCTTTCTAGTAAAAAAATAAAATTTTTGTACTGAAAATTGCTTTAAGAAGCAGTAAGAAAGTTGTCCCAAACAAAGCTTTAGAGTACATTTGGGACGATTTCTTACTGCTTTATAAAGTTGTTTCTTAGTACAAAAAGCTCTTGAAAAACAAGGTAAAAATAGTGGTCTAAAGCTACCCCGAACAAAGCCTTAGAATTGTTGAGCCTTATTAAAATCCAAAATATTTGAGTTAAATTAAAATAATATTATAATCATTAATTTTCACATCAATCATTCTCATTATCTTGACTAGAAAATTAACGATAATAGCGAGAGAATTTTTACATGTTAGCTTCTTATGAACATTAAGCATGCACATAGATAACAAAAAAAAAACATACTAAATATCAAAAAATATTTATATGAAAAATCCTGAAATGGATAAAACTCTTAGAGCTTTGTCAAAGAGATTATTACAAGATATGTAATTTAAGTTTATCTTTTTGCTTCTTTTTGCAAATGTGAGAGAGAATGCTAGAGATATAATAGTACAATAGTGTTAGTCGGACGACCTTAAATGGTCTTCTTGTCGTGGCGTACCTGCTCTTTTGGTTTCGGAAGAGGTGTTTTTTGCTCTTGCCGAACCCTTTAAGTTTTCGCTTGTTGGTTTCTTCCCTTTGCGGCGGCCTCCTCTCACGTCGATAAAATTTTTTTTTTCAACCTCGGTTAAATCGCATTTTCTCTGTTACCTTGTTGGATTCATCCCATTTCTCATTAAGCTGGAGAATGATCTTGACTATAATAGGGTTTTTTGTCATAGGTC